CCTCCCGCCTGCCAGTCTTAGGAGATAAGCATTATCATACCCATTTTGCAAATTAGGCTGAGCTGCCCAAAGTTGCAATGCTAAAGAGGGACGAAAATATGACTCTAAGCCCTGTATTCTTTCCAGAGGCTGTTTTGAGTTTAAGTGAGATAACACAAATGTGCCTTGTAAGTGTCTGGGATGGACTATAGCAGTAGAAGTGTGGAAGGTACTGTATTTTTAGATTACATTAAAGTTAGCACAGGAGCCCTTTTCGGTGGGGACAATTGGCTTGAGTTTTAGCATGCAACAATTTCTAAAAAACCAGGAAGACTTCTATTTTCTCTTCAGCACCGTGGGCTCTGTGAGGGTCTTTTGGCCCTGATCATAGTGCCCAAGGAGCTTTTGTTTTGAGGAGTCTAGGGGCTTTCTTTATGGAGGCAGGTGGGCAGAGGGGTGGGCAGGGACTTGGGCAGCAAGTGGGGCCAGAAACCTCTCTCTCGACTTGGAGCTCACTGTTTTTCCCCTCCGACTTGACTGGTCATCTTACATTCAGTCTGTTCTGAGGAGGTATCTCCTGTCAACTCTGAAATGTGACCTGCACCCATCCTGCTCCTGGGTGACACAGAAGCCCCAGGGGAAGGCACTGGCCCATCTAGCACAATCCCAGTGGTTGTTGGGTGCCTTCCTGCAAGGTGCTGCTGAGGCAGGAACAGGTAAGCTCTCCTCCTTCAGCAGTAGGTCGCCCCTGGCATGATGGCTGTATTGATGTTCTCCCACCTATGGATGTGGGTCCTGCTGCTGCCACACAGACACCTGATCTCTCAGTCGTCCTTGGGTCCTGCTCTTATTTTTCTCTCCATGAGGATTCAGGTGGCATCTGGGAAGACTTGCTGTGACCTGGGGCTAGCACCTGCCCTTTGGAGAGCTGGTTGGGAGATCTATGGTTAGGTATCAGCGCCACCCTATGACTTCTCTCCTGCACTCTTTACCCCTGTGTATAATTGTTCGCCCCTGCTTTCAGTTCTTTTGGGTATATACCCAGAAGTGGAAATGCTGGGTTATAAGGTAACCTTATGTTTAAGTTTTTGAGGAACCACCATACTGTTTTCCACAGCAGTGCATGAGGGTTCCAGTTTCTCTACATCCTTGCCAGTGCTTGTTATTTTCTATGTGTGTATGTTTTTTTTTCTTTTTCTAAAGATTTGTTTATATATCTGAGAGAGAGTGAGGGGGGAGTGGCAGAGGGAGAGGGAGAGGGAAACTCAAGCAGACTCTGCACTGAGTGAGGAGCCTGATGCAGGGCTCGAGCTCACGACCCTGAGATCAGACCTGAGCTGAAACCAAGAGTTGGATGCTCAACCGACTGTGCCACCCAGGTGCCCCCTATGTATGTATGTTTTGTGTTTTCTTTTTTTTGCAGACAAAACTTTTAAAAAT